CATATATTAGTTTATTAGTATATATTATATATTAGTAGTAGTATTATCAGTTTTATTTCAAGGTGCCAAAAAGAATAAGTGCGCTCCTGAGTTCTGAATAATGATGATCATAATATGCGTGCGTAAAGGCCGGGCGATCGCGGGCGTTTGCGGGCGCCCGTGCCCGTTTTCAGCGTTTTGCCGACCTCTGAATTAATAAATTAATACTAACATATTGGCATTTATGATATTTTAAAATTTCAAAAGTAACATTATATCACATTAAAGATAAAAGATAATTGTTCTTATATTGTTTTAACTACAAAAAATATAAATATAAAAGAAGGAAATATAATAATACTAAAAAATATAATAAGATATAATAAGATATATCTGTTATTTGATGTATAACCATTGTTACACAGATTGAAAAAGATTTAAAAATAAAGTCGAAACGTCTCAATATTTTAACTCAACATTATTTCTGCACAACATCCTGCACTGGCTCGATTAAAGCCCAAGTTCATTGGATCATTCTTTTTGGATCATTCTTTGATAATTCTTTAAGATCTTATCTTATTATATCTTATTATATTTATAGTAATAAGATATATGTCCCAGCAAACACAAAATAACTGCTACATAACATGAGAATAACATATAATGTAACACAGTTGTTGTACTTGATTTATTGGGTCTGTGCATAAGTTCGTAGCGAAATTCCGTGAGATGTCGCACGCAATTGTTTTTTTCCACTCGCACATGTTTCAAACGTAAGATGTCGTACATTAAATGAAAGCTGCAATTTGTGCTGACATTTTACGAAAGTGTTTATTGAGATCCGTGACATGTATGAAGTTTAATTATATTTTGAACATGGAAGGAAAAAACGTATATTTTCGGTGCATTTCGCTTTTTTATTTCCGAAAAGGCAAAAACGCGTCGCAAACTCACAAAAAGATATGCGTCGTGTACGGAAAGAATGCCGTAAGCGAAAGTGTGTGTAGAAAGTGGTTCCAAAAATTTCGTTGCGGAGATTTTGATCTCCAAGATGCTCCTCGCTTTGGTCGACCAGTCACTACTGATCCTGATCAAATCAAGGCTTTAATCGACTCCGACCGACATTTGACAACTACGCAGATCGGACATAATCTAAACATTGATCATTCAACTGTTTCAAGACATTTACGGAAGCTTGGGATGGTAAAAAAGCTTGATGTTTGGATGCCGCACGAATTGAGCGAAAAGAATTTAATTGACCGAATGTCAGCTTGCGATTTGCTGCTCAAACGCCATCAAAACGAACCATTTTTAAAGCGGGTGATCATTGGCGATAAAAAATGGATTGTCTACAACAAGGTCAGTCGAAAAAGATCATGGTCGAAGTCCGGGGAGGCTGCTCAGACGGTCGCAAAAGCTGGGTTACACCCAAAGAAGGTCATGCTCAGCATCTGGTGGGATTGGAAAGGCATAGTCTATTATGAGCTGCTGCCACCCAACCAAACGATTGATTCGACCAAGTATTGCTCACAATTGGACAAATTAAAGCGAGCAATCGATCAGGAGCGACCCGAATTGGTGAACAGAAAAGGCGTTGTGTTCCACCACGACAACGCAAGACCACACGTTTCTTTGATGACCCGACAAAAGTTATTGCAGCTTGGGTGGGATGTTTTGGTGCACCCACCATGTAGTCCGGACCTTGCACCTTCCGACTATCACTTATTCCGTTCACTACATAACAGTTTAAATAATAAATCCTTCAGTTCCCTGGACGTTCTCAAAAATCACTTAGAAGACTTCTTTGCAGAAAAATCTCAAGACTTCTACAAACAAGGGATAATGAAGCTTGTGGATAGATGGCAGAAAGTCATCGAACAGAATGGGACATATATAGTTGATTAAGATCGCTTTTCAAGGAAAGAATTTTGCGTTTGAAATTTATTCCATTTTCGCTACGGACTTATGCACAGACCTAATATATTGGAATTATATAATTTTCTCTTATTTATGCAATATAACACTGTAATGAAATAATTACATAGTTCGTTACTTACTGACAACAACAAGATAACAATAATGTATATCTAATGTAACATGTTATATGACAAATTTTATGTCTGCGTTACTGTATTGTGACAATTTATATAGATATGATCGAGTGATTTATTGGTGAATAGGATTAAAGATTCTATATAAAAAAAAGATATGTATGGTTGTGAAAATATATATTGATAAAAAAAGCATATGATACCTTTAGTACAAACTAGTATAGAAAGTGAAGTAAAAAAGAACAGTCTTGTGATGTTTTATGAACATGTTATCGTCAAAGCTCGAAGGACCGGTCCAGTGATCTCGCGGCCTGAGTGCAGGGGCTGCGAACCTGGAGGTACCGAGTTCGAATCCGCTCACCACCTAAGGATTTTTTCCGGGCCGGTCTCTTTCAACCGAGTTTATCGGTTGATTGGCGAACTTAATCGGGCCTCCAAAAATTAATTCGGGTGTAATCCCGAATTAAGTTCCCTCCCACAAGGCGATCGTAGTCATAACATCTTGAGCACGAGCCCGACATAGATGGGCAGAATTGTCTGGTGAATGCGGAACCAAGCGTCTTGGTCAAAGCCCAAATAGACATTTGAGACAAATAAAATATTTTGTTTGTATCTTATATTATTGTAACGTGTGAATGGGCATTTTCTCCCCGTGAAAATCTAACCTAATTAATCTATTCTATGTCATTGCGATACAGTAGCGTACAGTAAAAAGTACGCTAAAAAAACTATTTTGAGCTTTGACCAAGACGCTTGGTTGTTTTGCGCATTGACCATTCAATCCTAGGAACACCCGTGCTTCGGACTGTGACAATTTTTTTAATAGTTATATTACTATTTTATAACAAATAAAAGAATAAATATATAACAATTTCAGTAACAATTAATTAATTTATATCGCAGTTATATACCATTGTAGTAATCTATATAAATGTTATTTAACCTTTCAGTACTGCAACAGTAAGTATAACATTTTAGTAACATGTTATAGTCAGATTATATAACTGCAATTTGGTATGAGTGGGAAATTACAACTAATGTTACATGTGTTGGATGTTGAGGAGAGACAGGTCGGTGAGAGATAAGTTCTAAGTCTGAACTTATTTAAAATATCTTTATTGCGCGCTCCTGTTCCTTTACAATGTTCCTTCACGGCTGTTTCTCACTGCAGTACATTCTCCGGCTTGCGGAGCCACATAGTGAGGTAGCAGTCCTACACGATCTCTGCCCTGCTTTATCTGTGCGATCGATTTATAGTAGATCGATTGCGCCGATTTAGCAGGCCCTAGCAACGGCCGTGCTAGTTACCTGTGCCGGTGTCGACATGCCGCGTTGCATTTCGGACAATGTGGCGATGTGTTGCACCCTGTGACAACCAGCAGTTCTTCCTAGAACTGTTGTTGCCCTGCAACCTAACCAGGTTGAGCAATGACAGTAATGTTTTATCACATTGCTCAATGACCTAACCTAACTTTATCTCAAAATATGTTGCTGCACAACATTTCCCTCTTTCCGGGAAAAAGAAAATTTTACGTAACATTTTACGCCACAACTCTTAAATCTACTTGTGCACAATTTTTCTTTAGGTGCTACTTACATTATTCTGTATTTTACTTACTACTACGCGGTACAACTTACAACGCGATGGTCTCGACGTTTGGTGCGTGAACACTTTGTCGTTTTTCATGCCGCTTTGCGTCATGCAGTTCTACGGCAATGCGTGCCAACTTAGCTCTTTTCCTACTTTTTACTATTTTATACACAACTATTACAATAATAATAATTATTATTACGCCTGACGTAGTCGGATAAATAAGATGTGGAATTTCAAAAACCGAACTCTCGTTTATTTTATCTGTTAACTCTGTTATTTCTGATTTTATTTTCTTAATCTGCGCTTTGTTCTGTGTTACACTTTTTAACACTATCGGTCTGTTATCAGCCGCACGTTCTTTTGCTTTTAGTAGTGTAATAATGAGAGTTCTAACCCAGGAGCTCCGAGAGAGGTGTGGAGTATGACGTCACAATTACGTCACGATGACGTCACAGGGCAAGGGGACGTCACAATTACGTCACGTAGTATGACGTCACGCAACAAATGACGCCAGGGGGTATGACGTCACAGGACGTGACGTCACGCGGCGGGCAATATGGCGGCGGATCCTGACGATCATTATTGACGTCACGTGGTGGCAATATGCCGGAGGACAATATGGCAATTTTACGGTACGTACTTATATATGTAAAATAATTTTTTGTTTATTACATGTACCACAAAAAATTGCATTGTTTTTTCTACGCGATGTTGCAGTTATTTTTACGTATTCTGTATATATGTATTGTGTATTTACTACAATACGTGTCGCAGCGTTATACAGTCTACTGCATAGTTGCATTTTTTGGCGATAAGTCTACGCGCGAAATTGCAGGTGTAGTGATAAACAGCAAAGACAATATAATAATGTACTACAATATGTACCGCTGCGTCATGCAGTATAAAACTGCAGAGTTGCGTCTTGGTGCGATAAGCCTACGTAGATTCAGCGATAAAGAGCATAGACGAAATAGTAATGTATTGTGTACATGCGCAACTCGCATCTCTAGAGAAAGTATTACTATCAAAATCTTCTTCTACAAGATCTATTCTACAAAAGAAATGATATCAATAAGTTATGCCAAGTAAAATCTTTTATACATGGGTACAAAAATATATAAAATATATAAAACTTTGTAAGTTGTTTATACGTTGTAAAATAAAAAATATTCTAAATCAATAAAA